GGTTGTACATATCTGTAAAATCTGTATTGAAAGCCGCAGCTTCTAATAAAATGGTACAATGCAACAGAGGGGATGCGGCTTCTATTAGAGCATCTACACATATGAGAAATGGTGAATTTTTGGTTCTCAATTGTTCAAAAGAATGGATGCGGCTTCTATTAGGGATGCGGCTTCTAATACAGATTTTACGGTACTTGCAATTAGCACCCAAGACATACAAGAAATAAACATCAGTAGGTACAGCTGTGACTTCTATGTTTGGAAAGTTGCCAAATATTTAAAACAAAATCTTAAACTGAATAAATTTCTATGATAAGATATATTCATGATTTGATTATGATGAGACAATATAAATCATTTACAATTTCATTTTCAAAAAATTGAATTTCAAAACAGTCAAAGCACACAGCAATTCAATGAAGTACTCTGACATACATAAAGGACACCCTCTAGAGGTAATAATTAACCATAGTAATACGCTTCATACCAAAGTTCTCCAGATTTTTTCAGAGATCTGAAATTAAAGGAAAAGAGAAATACTTAAATTCTTAACTAATGATCGTCTAAACATTAGACACAAACAAATCTGTCTTAACACAGTGCATTTTTCAGAAACTTGCCACAGATTTAATTGTTTCAAAAAAACCACTGTTTTTGGTTGATATGATGTGATGTGGTGAGTACAATGAGTAGGTTTTGATATGATGTACAGGTAGGTATAGGCTTGGGCTACTATGGGGTGTTGTAATGATCAATAACTAAATCATCCCAAGTCTGTTTGAATTGTCATCAACTTTTTGTTTCTCCTCCAGTTCAAATTATTTGTTTGGAGAAAAAAATGCCTTAAAAAATGCAAAAAATTGACATTATTTAAATGTTTGAAGAGCAATAATCAAAATTTATAATAACCAGCTATCACAAAAAATTGTCATCATACAAACTCAAATGATATTTTGAGATATGGTGGGAACTTTTTGGGTTTTGTGAACAACTAAAAATTAAACTATAAATCTAAAACATCAAGGAAATCTAATAATTAAAGATATAAATGTTTATTACACATAATGAGATTGATCACATACAAAAAATAGAAAGACAGCAAACAGGAATCATTCAACCTTTTAGTTTTTTTAAGGTGTTCATGGAGACAACATTTTACAAAAGCCAGTTTCTTGATTTTACAATTACTTGAAATTTCTCTTTTTAAACTAAAGCAACCATAGTAGATTCTATGTAAACTTACCTCACAATATCAACAAATGCTGTGCCCAAAGATTTGGATTCATACTTCAAGCCATGTTTCTGACATAATGATTTACATAGAGGTGCTATCTTGTGATAATTATGTCTCGGCATGGTTGGATAGAGACTGCAACAAATAAACAAATATTGTTTAATGTCATATAAATTATTAATTAAAAAGAAACTTAAATAAGTATATTTCATGAATACTGAAAATCAGTGTGTACATTTAATTTTACATATTGCTGATTTCAATATAATAATTTTACTTGCAAAATTTGTTTTAATTCCACACATAAAATTGAGTCACATCTAAACATATACAACTTTGTCACGAGATATCTTCTAATAAGTCAGCAAAGTTGCAAACCCCTGATATTATTTGCCTTTGATAACAAAGTTCAGTTATATGATTAACACTTACTGGTGTTCAATTTGAAAGTTTAAATGTCCAGTAAACCAGTCATTAAAAAAAGACTGATCAACATTACATGTGGCTTGGAGTTGTAAAGTTAACCAATCTTTGTGAGACTCTTTATCAATGTCCATTGGAATATGGTTCATCTGTGTCACCCATACAAACCAGTGACTTTCAATAAACCTACAGAAAATACAAGAAAAAAAATGTACAACATTTCTTTTTTATATTTTACTAAACACAAAAAATTACACAAAATGTCATATGCTTTGTCCGAGATGACCCAGGCAGGAATTTGCATTGGTTTTGTAAAAAAACATTTTAAAATTTACAGCAAATTTGACATTTGAATACTAGTAACTATGGAAACACCTCACATAAAACACTACACACCACAATACTTTAAAATTCTGGACATTCATCAACACAAATTCATACAACTCAATGGTTGCTTGGCAACTAAATTTTATAAGATTAACATCAGAGAAAATTGAGGTTTCAACAGAATGTTGTTTATATTTGCAGACAAGATTACCGTACTGAAAAATCAGGTGACATATCACATGACTACTAAACAGTCAGGTGACAGTTTATTGCTGGTTCTATTGTCTTTCTACCTACCTTACGAACATATAGAGTCCAAACGCTCCCCAACCACCAAGTAATGGAGTATACATCGCAAAGAATCGAATAAAGAAAAATACAGTCCATGCCAAATCCTAGGAAAAATAGATATTTTGAGAAAAAATGTTGGAAGTTGTTTATTTTATTTCATAATTATTGTAGAATATTTTATTTTCAGGTTGAAGTTATGTTTGTTGAAAAACAAATCAGTGAAAGTAGAATTCAGTGTAATTCATTTTTTTTTCTTTACTAGTTTGAATGTAATGGCATTTGAACATG